GAAGAGAAGGATGTTCATGAGATCTGGGGATGTGATGGAGAGGAGAAGGATATGATTGAGGGGAAAAGGATTTTCGTCAAAGAGGTTATATTCAGTACTAGAATTTGTGGCATTGATATCCCCCAAATAAACGGACGGGGTTGAATCTTAGGGCACGATGGACAGGAGAAGGATGTTCATTGAATCTGGGGATATGATGAAGAGACGAAGGAAGCTCATCAAAGAGGTTAAATTTAGTACTAGAGTTTGTGGCAGTGATGTCCCCCACGTGAACGAACGGAGGCTGCGTGTGGCCTCTCGGGGACGCTGAACCTCAAGGGCAAAACATAGAGACGTTTCGACTTTCTTAGGAGGAAATCTACAAGCTTGCATTGAAATATAGGTGCAGGCTGGTGTTTGCTATACTAGAGCTAGTGGGGAGTGGGGTAGAGGCTCAGATTGTTCATGTAAATTAGGGTACGCCATCGTGTCGATGAGGATAAAAATGCCCCCATGAATCTGTGGGTTTGATAGAGAGGGGAAGGATGGTAATTGAGTCTGTGGATATGACGGGGAGAAATAGGATGTTGTTCATTGAATTTGGGGATATGATGGACAGGAAAAGGATGTTAATTGAATCTGCAAATTTAGAGCAGCATTCTTTTTCAAATTCAAACATTATTGAAAAGAGAAATGCAAGTGGTTCTAAGAATAGGTCCATTCTAAATTCCTAGAGAACATTACCTTGAAAAGGCACAAATATCTCAAGTAGTTGTTGAACGTTTCAATCTATATTAATAGCTGATTAAAACCTGGTCGGTTCTTCAGAACAGATGTTTCTCCTACCTACGCCTTTCTGTCGGAGACATGGTGACACTTTCTCTTACGAAGTTTCTCAACGTTTGGCTTGAAGGAAGACCGCTGTCACACTTAATTTTGATGTCAAATACGGACCGCAAAATATCGTCCTGCTGGCCTCAGTTGGCCCACAGGCAACCAGTTTGGGACCCTTAGTACTTAGGGATATGTTCAATAGAACCCCTCTAAAGAAAGTAAAATATACAACCCACACTGTATCAAATACGGAACCCACATTGAGTCAAATACACAACACATACTGAACCAAATATACAACCAATACTGAACCAAATACTCGACCCATAAAAAGTAAAGTTGTTCCCGCATCCGATCCGGACATTGGGTATTGCCTTGTTAGTGAGACAAATTCCAGGGCCTTCGGCATATTGTGGTAGGGAGGCCAGTTCTTTTCCGCGCCGCCTTTACTTCCCCGACTCGAAGTCAGGTACCCATTACTGCTGGGTGGGCAGAAAGGGGTGAAAAAAGTCTTTGTCCGAACCGAGGCTCGAACCCGGACTTTCCGCTTCGGAAACGACACAACCCATACTGAACCAAATACCAAAACAACCCACATTTAGTCAAAGTAAATACCAAATACACAACCCACACTGATAACACTCAATTCATATGATTGCCAACCCCTCTTTTGGAATCAAAATAATAATTTTAAAATGGTCAAAGACGACTATCTACAATATTATGTCGTAACCAAGGACTTCCTAATTAAGAAATAAATCAGCTTTTTATTCTTCTTCGTAAACCGCACGTTGTAGGGTAGAAAACGAATACGGTCTCCACCAAACGACAAGAAAAAGACCTTCCAAAACCCACACAAACTGACGTGAGTGCCCCAATTTTGTATCCCCATACCCGAAAGGCTTGTGAATATCTCCTATGTAATTATAGAAATACTATACTCAGTCCTGATACCTTATTCCTTTAGGCTCCAACCATGGACTGGTTCCCTCTTCCCGGAGGTTGCTCAAGAATCAGCTGGAATTACTTACGCATGCACAATCAACACATAACTCACATTCCTTTAATTAATAACGTTCCTCTTCGCGAAAACGTCATAAAATAACGAGAGTAGCCTCGCCAACTGTGTGTTAGTGTTATATACAACAGAAGTGACGTACCTGTCTACGTAAAGTTTCTTGAGCAGAGTCCTGTGTATGTTATGTCGAGCTGCTCGCTACCTGCGTTGACCAGCTTGCTGCTTCGTTCCTCCCCGTGGTCACAATGGCCGACACTATGACGTCAAAGACACCAGCAAACGACACCAGGCGTGGATCGATGGAGGCCTCACTCTGGAAGCTGCCTCCTCCCGCCTGCTTGCACGTGCGTGCGTGTGCGTGAGTGCGTGAGTCTGTGCGCGCGAACGTGTGAGGGAGTGAGGGAGTGAGGGAGGGAAGGCACGCTGGGCAGACAGGCAGAATTCTGGAACTGATCGATTCATGTGTGCGTCATTGAGGGCGGTGGTGTGTAAGGCAGGGGAAGGGGGTTGAGAGATGGAGAGATCGGAAGATAGGGAATCTGTCTGTCTTTCTGTTTATCTATCTATCTATCTCTCATCAGCGAGAGAGAGAGAGGGAGAGGGAGGGAGAGAGAGAGAGAGAGAGAGAGAGAGAGAGAGAAATAGAGAGAGAGAAATAGAGGGAGAGAGAGGGAGAGAGAGAGTCAATGAGTGTGTGTGTGAGAGAGAGAGTGTGAGTGAGTGTGTTTGTGTTTGTTTGTGTGTGTGTGTGTGTGTGTGTGTGTG